GATTCCATAACCCCTTTCTTCTGTCCTAGACTCTAAATTCTGAACCACATGGCTAAAGCTGCCAGGTTCTGCTGCTTTCTGAGGCTGGGGCATGGCCCCTTTGTTTGGTTACATCTTCACCAGCTTCCTGTTCTTGATGGTGCCCTTCCCTGCTTAAACTTGGCTGTTCTGAATCTCAATCTGTAGACCAGACTGGCCTCAAACGTAGACCCCTCAGCCTGTCTGCTGAATGCTGGGATTAAAGGCATGCATCACTGCTCCTGGACCTAAACTGTTCTTTAATTCCTTTTCACAAGTTGGAAACTTAGCTGGGTGCCCTGAGGTCACAACTCCCTTTATTCCACTTCTTAATCTGTTTATCTCCTTGAACACAGGATTTAGCTCCATTCCACTTCCTGGTGCCTCTTTTCTCAGTTTGTACATTTTATATTTTTACTACCTCATCTTGTTTCTTTGCATTATAAATCTTCATTAGAGTTAATACTAATAACCACATAACAGTCAATGCTAGGCTGTTTTGAGATTCCCTTTGCCAACAGAATTAATCCAAATCTCTTTACTTTATCATCAAGCAGACTCTTCAGACAAGGGCAAAAAGTAGCCACATTCTTCACCAAATCACAAGACTGGTATCTTACAGTAACTTACAGTTTCAGAGATCTAGTCCACTATCACCATGATGGGACATGGCAGCATGCAGGCAGACATGGTTCTGGAAAAGAGCTGAGAGTTCTACATCTTGATCTGCAGACATCAAGAAGTGAGCTGTGTGCTGGAGTAGCTTGAGCACAGGACTCCTCAAAGTCTACCCCCACAGTGACACATTTCCTCCAACAAGGCCTTACCTACTCCAGCAAAGCCACACCTCTTAATAGTGCCACTACCTATGGAGGCCATTATCTTTCAAACCACCACACATGGCAAGTCTCTAAAGCATTTGACCTAGTCATGTAGAGGTCACAGTGTTCAACACTACTTGATTATCCTGTGGGCAAGGAGTCTTTCATTTGATGGATGTCTGTTTAAATGCCAAGGGGTTGACCACACTCTCCCCAAGGCCATCCTTGTGAAAGTCCAGTATTTTCATACCCCACACAAGCTTATCTATGGGGACTTGGTGAAGTACCACAGGCCACAATCCTAGCATGTTGTCACTGACTGTCTATTTCCTGTGGCTGCCTTGTGATAACTCGGTGGCTTCCAACCACTGAGATGTATTGGCCTCCATTCTGGCGCCAGTCCTCTGAAGTCACTATCGCTGGGCTGTCCCCAAGGAGAAGCCATTTTGCTCCTTCCAGATTCCAGCAGTGGTAAGTTGCCACCACATCCTTCCAAGCCCAGCCTCTTTGACCTCTCTTTGTCCCAGATTTATCTTCTCATCTGTGGGGTCCAAACTTCCTGCTGCTCTCTCCAGAAGGACACCTGCAATTACATCTAATTACATCTAATGTCCATATATCAGTGGTCTGCAAAGGTCCCAGCTCAGCTCTCCTGAAGACTAAAGACAATTATTCATCAGCCTGCGCCCTCAGTATCTGTGAGTTTGGGTGGGGCCCAGTGCCTGGACCTGGACCTGGGAAGACATCAGAGAGCTGTCTGTCCTCAAAAGGGAGCTGAGGCAGGGTACACTTGAGTGGAGCATCTGAACATCATCATATCATGGGAAGAAACCAGGATTAGGAGGTAGGAGGACAACAAGGCAGGTGGTTCTGGGTGCTTTAAGAAGGCAGGCTGAGCAAGCCGTAAGGAGCAAGTCAGCCAGCAGCATTCCACGACTTCTGCTTCAGTTTCTGCCTCCAGGTTCCTGTTTCAAGTTCCTGCCCTGACTTCCTCCATGATAGATTGTGTTCTGGAACCACGAGCTGAAATGAACCCTTTCCTCCCTGAGACTGAGGGCAGTGTCTGTGAGTGCTGGGTTGTGGTGTTTACTCTCATTGAGACACCCTCCTCAACCTTGCTTCCTTATTTGTCCTAATTTCCACAGTAATTCAGAAATTCTCTGCCACTTTCCCACTAACAATCGCTTTCTGATTCCTGAGCCACAAATGGCTTTTTTCCTTTAAAGCATTAAAAATACATGGCAGTGGTACCCCACAAGGAACCTTTCATGCCCTGCATTTCTCCAAGTATCAAACTGGACGTCCCTCCTTCTCTCCCTCCTCCCTAACCCCCTCTCCCTAATCAGATGTGCTCCTAGAATGTCCTAAATTCTCTGAGAGAAGCTAGATTATGTTTTTTAGTTGTGGGTTAACATAGACTTTCCTGGGAGCCTGTGGTGTATATTGTGAGAGCCCCACTTGGCAGCCCTAGCAGGGAGTCACTGACTCAGATCAAATCAGAGCTAAGAGCCACTGCTGGCCACCACTTCCTGTTCCTGGCTGTACTCTGTCTAGTGGCCTCCACTCTAATTGGGATGTCACAGTCAGAGGGGAACTTCATGACTATTTCCCTCTAAAAGGTGGCTCAGCACAGCTGTTTGCCTGGAGCCTTGATTTTGCTCCAAAGTCCCCTAGGAACTTGGTGACACTCTGATTCTCCCCTCCTGTGGCTGTGACCTTACTTGCTGGAAGTCCACAGGGATTTTTTCCATTTCCCTGGTTGCAAAGTCATCTGCAGCCCAGGGTCACCGGCTATCTCTTCCCCCACCTGCACTTCCCCTCAGTTCCCAGCGGGGCTGCTGTCTATTGCCTGGCACTACCCTTGGGAGTATCTCTTAGATCACTGTCTCCTCTCCCTCCTTTCCTTCCTCCTGCTCACCTTCTTTTTGGGGTGGGTGTTTGTGTGTGCTCGAGATTCGTGTAGCATATGTGGGTGGGTGTGTGCTTCTGTTTATGAATGCAGAGGCCAGAGGAGGAGGTGAGATGCCCTTCTCTATCACTTTCTGCCTTATTCCCTTGAGACAGGGTCTCCCATGGAACCTGGAGCTAGGCCGGTGGCTAGCAACCTCTAGGGATTCTCCTGTCTCCACCCCCTGACAATGGTTTGAGGCAAACATGTGGTTGCGCTCAACTTTTTACATGAGTGTTAGGGATCCAAGCTCAGATCCTCAGGCTTATACAGTAAGTGTCCTTACCCACAGAGCCTCCCTCCCAGTCCCAACTCTTTTCTTTCTGTCTGGTGTGGTGTGTGATTTCCCTCCTCGTTATATGGTGTCCACTCCCTGAGTTACCTTCCACTGTGCTAATTTGCTCTCTTTTCCACTGTTCTTTTTGGATTTGCCTGGACGTTGTTCATTTTTCAGCTCCACGGAGAAGGCAGTGTGGCGCCGCATTCTGAGACTCCATGAGCAGAGGAAGTTTAATTCAATCTCTTCCTTTGGCCACAGGAAGACTTATTCCATTTGTCCCCTCCATGAGTTTGCCCCACCCTGGCCTCTGCGTGGCAGCTTACGCAGCATCCTGAGAGCCAGGCTGCTGCGATCACCTGGACAGTGGCCAGCAGGGTGAATGACCAGGCTATGTATGCTCTTTGAGGCCATGAAGAACGGAGTAGGAAAAGTTTAGCTAGAGTGAGCCTGTCTGTGCTGAGCCTTGTAAGTGCGAACAAGATACTAATCCTCAGGGTGGGCCAAGCCCCAGCCCTCCCAGATGGAGGGGAGGTGGCCCACGTGTGAAAAAGAAAAGCTCACCACATTGGTTTTTAAAGAACTTTTAAAAGTTCACGCGATAATTGGGAGGGAAGTGCTTCCCAGGAGGAGGAAGCAGGTGTGTGGTTTGGCTGTGGTTTGTAGGAGGTGGGATGGGGAGAGGTGGGAGGTGGGCACTGAGTCAGAGGAGGGAGAAGTTCTGGTGCATGTCACACAGTAAAGTGGCCCTATGCTTATGGTAATATGCTGTGCATCTCAAAATAGAAGAAAATCATTACAGAGATGGCAAATGTTTGAGCTATGTTTACCCTGTAAAGCTCAACCTCTTTCTCTCTCTCTCTCTCCTCCCCCCCACCCCATATGTGTGCTCCTCAAACAGTACTCATTATCTCCTTAAGTTTTATGTATCAGCTAAAGTACATTTATATTAGCAGTAACAGACACAAACCTTTGCTTCCCTCGGTGAAGTGTTTAGGGGAGGTGGGGCCTTTGAGGTGATTACGTCACTAAAGGGGCTGAAGTCTTTCTGAGGGATGCACTAATTGCTATTGTTTAATTAGTTTCTGCTGAGAAGGTTACAAAATGTGGCGCCTTGTGTTTTCTACTCTTCTGTTTTTCTGCACACGCTGTCGAGGACAAGGCCCTTGCCACATGCTACTGCCTGATCCTGCCTTCTCCCACCCCCAGAACAATGAGCCAAATAAACGTCTTTCCTTTGCAAATTACCCAGTCTAGGATATTCTGTCATAGCAACAGAACATGCATTAAGACAATTAGTTACCATGGAAATGTGAATTGCTACTGCAGGGGCCACTTTTCTGTTTCCATACTGGGAAAGGTAAAAAATAAAAGTCATTCCTGTGAACAACTCCCAGAAACTTGTTTTGGTCAGACACCGCTCTAGTTCTGAAAAAATCACTAGCATGTGGTGCTCCTGATTCCTGAACTTGCCCACCCCCTACCCCTGGGAAATAGTCACCCCAACACAGGGGTGAACCGGGAAACAGGCCCCAGATGGAGCCAGGGCAGAGTCACCCTGCTGGGATGAGCTTCCTTCCTCCTCCACGAGCCTCTCCGGGATGTGTGAAAAGATTAGGCCCCGAGCAGCTGCAGAATCAAAGTATCTGGTAAACCATGTGCCAGAGCATGGTTGGAGTGGCTCAGTGGACCGCGACCGTCTTCGACTGCCTCTGTGAAATGGGATGTATGGTCCAGAGAAGAAAGGAACACAGACACTTACACTGTAGCTTCGATCTCCAAACCACACTGCTCAGACACCAAAAAGAGGATCAAAAGGAAGGGGCCTTCCAACTGCCTGAGTCTGGCATTATTGTCTGGCTAACCTTTAAAGCGTGCTAGTCTGCGTTTGGTTCTGGTCATCTAAAGCAGTACTTGGTGGCACGTGCACACTTACTTGGCCACACTTTTTTTGTACTCGCTGCTACATCGGGGAGTCCTCTGTGTATCTCGATGCGTCGTAATTAGGACTCCTGGCAAAAAGTACGCGCCGTCAGTAGGCACTTCACTAGCCGGTATGAAGTGTGAAGATGGAGCCCCAAGGTGCAGAGGCGAGCGGAGGGTGGCGCGACTCCTACTCCTGGGTCCAACCACCTGTTACTAAGCAGCTCACAAGCTTGAGCCAGGAAAGAGACGTCCTGGAGGCGTGGCGGCTAGGGGGCAAGATCCCGGCCGAGTTTACTCAGACTTTTACTGTGGCTGGACCCGCCTTCCCGGCGCCATCTGTCCGCCTGTGGACCAGAAAGAACTCGTTGCTACAAGGCGAGGCGTACCGTGATTGGCGAGGGCACGCAATGATTGGCAGGCACCCCGACCGCTCAGTGGGCCGAGTCCTGGGAGCCGCTTCAGGAATGGAGGGCGGCGGAGGCCCCGCCCAGTCTCCGCCCCCTGCCCGTGGCCGCGCTGGACGCAGGGCCGCGCGCTTCGCTTTGCTTGCTCTGCTGGCGGCTGCAATCTCCGTGGTTTCTGAGCAACTTGGCGGCGGGCTGAGAGGCCCAGCACTACGGCCGGTGAGTACTTCAGGATCGTTGTACCATGGCATTTACCCTGGGCGCTCAGCGACAGGGAAGGTTCCGGAGCGCTGGGAGGCGCCGCTCTCCCGGCCTCAGTTTCCCCTGATGGGTGGCCGGGTCCCAAGTTAACTCCGCAAGTTGCTAGAAGTTGGAGGCCAAAACTCGGAGCTCCGCGGAGCCCGAGGCGCCTACTGCCCAAACTGAATCGGTGTACCTCAGCTGTGCGCCCCTCGTTCAGTCCAGGAATCCCGGACATGCCTGCAAATCTCCCCCTCGAGATTGCGCTGCGGATGGGACAGCGGGTCGGAGAGGCTGTCCACGCCCCAGAACTGCCCCATCATGCCTACCTCCCCCGCCCGCCCCTCACAGGGCCACACAGGACCTGATCCTTGGGGCGTTAGGGGGTTTAGCCCACCCGGGAACCGTGTGGCAGTTCCTCTTTCTTCGGGTTCTCTGTGAAGGAGGCAAGACAGTGGGAACCCTTGGGACCTGCTTGGAGTGACCCACCCTAGTATGTACCTCTGGCCGTGGTGTGTCGTCATCTCTGGTATGCACCGCACTTTGGAGAACTTAGGTTCTGGTCAGATGACTGGAAGTCCTCTGGAAAGTCTGACCCTGCCCTTTTGGGTGTGATTGGAGCTGCGTCCTATCACCGCATTTGGATAGTTGATGTTACATGAGATTCCAATAAACCAGCATTTGGGTTCCTTAGAACTTTCCCCCTGCCACCTCCACCTTCCACCGCAAGTGGGCCCCTAGTCCCAGGGGTGGGACTTACAGTTTTTATTTGACACCAGAGGCTCAATGGTTTTGGGACCTGGCCAGAACGACGCAGCTAATGGACAGAACTAATGAACCTCTGCCCCCAGCAACCAAGTACAGCCCTACCTCCCTCACCTTGGACAATGACCCCTGGTGGTTGGCTGGGACTTTCCTGTCTCTAGACTCCATCACTCACTCAGAGCCCTAGGCTCTTGAGGCCCATGAGAAGCACAAGGGGCTGCCTTCTGGCTTTCCCTACCTGTTGACCTCTGTCTCTCAGGTGCTGACGACACTCACAGCTACTTTTCATGGGACTAGGAATCTAGAGAGAGGTTCTTTTATGTTCCACTTCCTTCCTGAATGCTCCTTGGACCTCTTTAGACACAGGCAGGATTGGGTGGAGACACCCTTCACCCTCTTCCCCAGGTGGAAAACTGTGGGAGCTCCCCAGTGCTGGCCTCCCCTGTGCCTTCAGAAGGGTTGGGGCTGGCCACACAGGAGACCTGCTCAGTCTTGGCCTCAGAAATGCCTGCACTGTATGACAGATGCCAGACATGTCCTTGGGTAGGGAGCACTGTGCTCCATGAGGTACCCCTCCTCTAACCTCTCCAACTTCAGGAGGGAGCTGAGGCCCCCAAGCCACTTCTGAGTCCCCATTTCTTAATCCCCTTACATCTTAACCCGTTTACAGTCTCCCGTCTTTCCCAGCTACCCCAGTGCTTGCCCTGCCCAGGCCCCTCACTCTGCCTGGATGGCCTTCACGCTCCTCCCTGGTCTTCCATAGCTCCAAACACCTTCAGTGGTTCTTGCATTCTTGGGCCTATGGGATCAACCTCACTCCTAGCCTGGCATTCCTTCTGGTCCTGGGGGGCTGATGTTTGTCTATCTGCCCACCCCTCCCCCAGGGCACAGTGTAGCTAATGCTGAAAATCTACTTTTCTCTTGTGCTTGTCCCGAAGGCTCAGCCAGGCCTTTGTAATGTCCCCAATGTGGCCCTTCCCATGGTTAAATGAGAGCTCTCTGTCCATTCGTCACTGTGGCTTCACCATCTCAAGCTGTCTGACTAGATATCGCCTTCCTACCAAGACAGAAGCTCAGAGATTAGCCCTGGAGCATCTTCTCCTGAGCAGGGAGGCTCAGTGCCCGACATAAGATAGATCCCAGTCCAGCCTGCTGACCCACACAGTCAGCCCGGAGCAGGTACCCACCACTGAAACCCCTGCCCCTCCCAGTTCCCTCCCCCTGTGTTCCTGTGAACTTGTCACATTGGGAGAGCTGGACTGTTCCTTGGTTTGGACTTAATACTCTGGGCAAAAATAGGTACCTAGGAGCCATCAAGGGCTTTGTGACCTTGTCTTGAGGGTCAGCCCTGTGCCAGAGGACTGGGTTAGGCCAGGCCAGAGTGGACATCCTAGGCCAGGGACTTGGTCGCTGGTGGATTTTACAATAATGCTTCATTTTACCTCCCCAAATGTCCCACATTCATTATTGAAAACTAAGAAGATATATATATATTTTTTAAGCTAAAGTAAAACCACCTATATTCCTTACTCAGAGATAGTATTGCAGTGGGGGAGGGGCACTTCTTCCATCTTTTTTACAGATAAGTTTTGTTCTCATCCTAAACAGACCCAGGATGGTTACCAAATCTGTTTTAAGCACTGCTTGACAGTATTATATTTTGTTTTCTGTCTTAGAGTCTTTGTACAGGAGATCATGGTTAATAGCTGTGCAGTGAGTACCGTGTGGAGACTGAGGGCTTTATCGCTGGGTTCTCTGGACACTGAAGCATCGCTGTGGGGGGATGCTTCTGTGTGTGAGCCCTGCAGGTGTCTCTCACGAGTACCATGTGCAAGCAGAAATGCTGGCCGTCTTGGCTTCCCGTGGGACTTGTTTCCAAGGGACTGCGAGGGTGGCACCATCCCCTGCAGAGCAGAATGAAGTTGGCCTGGGAGGGTTAGAACCTTCTGGCTAGATGTCTCCATGTGGTCCTATAGCCCCAGCCTCCATAGACCATAGTCAGGCAGCCCTCTCCAGGGTGGCCTCTCTGGGGGAAACCACTCCTCAGCTCAGCTCCTTGATGCTGACATTTGTGTTTAGATGGGATAAAAATATGCCTTGGTGTTCACAGGGAAAGAATGCTGGCCTCTGTGTGTTTTGGGATCTTACTCAATGATGGGTTCTAAGCCACTGCTCTAGCCACAGTGAAGCTGGGGCAAGAGTTGGGTGACAGCCAGGGATTTCCATCCCTAGGGAGGGACTTGCCTAAGATCATTCAGTCCCAGCTCCCTGAAGCCTGGCTGCCTCACGGGTCAGCTTGCCTTCATTGAGCCCTGAGTGTGTGCCCCAAGGCGCAGCCCTGACTTCCTGGCTCACAGGGCACCAGGCAGGTCCCTCCCCCAGGGTCAGGTCTGGTGGGCTGATTCTTGTCTCTCTGTGACCGATAATTCCAGGAAACTGTTTTGAATTAATAATCTCTCTGACCTAAACTATGCTTGGCCAGTGGCCCCAGAACCTGAAATGAATTCCACTGCATCCATCCATCTTGTCTTACTCTTTTTTTTTTTTTTAGACAAATTTTCTCTGTGTAACAGTCCTGGCTGTCCTGGAATTCACTTTTGTAGATCAGACTGACCTTAAACTCACAGAGGTCCACCTGCCTCTGCCTCCCCAAGTGCTGGGATTAAAGGCGTGCGCCACCAACGCCCAACCTTACCAGATTTCTTGCTTTGAATAGTTTTGCTTTGACTGCAGTGTGCACATGGTAAGTTACCTAGGAGCGTTGCAGCCAGCCATAGCCTCTTTCCCTGACATTTTCCTTTATAAGGTGTTTCTCACCTGAAGGAGAGATTGTCACACTTGGGTCTCTGTGTGTGTATTTAGATGTCTGCATGTGTGCATGTGGGAGGTCAGAGGTCAACCTTAGCTGTTCTCCCGCAGCCACTGTCCACCTTGGTTTTTGGAAACAGGGTTTCTCACTGGCCTGGAGCTTGCCAACTAGTCTAGGCTGGCTGACCGGCCAGCCCTGTAGGTCAGCCTCCACTTCACTGGGATTACTGCATGAGGCTTTTGTCTTTACATTGGAACTGGGGACTAGACTCAGGGCCCTATGCCTGGCAAGCTGTTTTTCCAATTGAGCTATTCTTGAAGTCCCCATTTAAGGAGTTTGTTTCATTTTGTTCTGTTTTGTATGTACGTTTGTATGTATTTGTTTATTTTGGTCTTTCGAGACAGGGTTTCTCTGCATTGTTTTGGAGCCTGTCCTGGAACTGGCTCTGTAGACCAGGCTGGCCTCGAACTCAGAGATCCCTTGCCTCTGCTTCCTGAGTGCTGGGATTAAAGGCGTGCGCCACCACCACCCGGCTCTGTTTTGTTTTTGAATGCCTCACCATTTACAGGCAGCTTTCTCTTCTACCACATCCCTTTGCACCTGATGTGGTAGGTGTAGGGAAACCGAGGCAGGGAAGCTAAGCAGCCACTCCCCGAGGTTCCTGTGGTTATGAAGTGGTGTCCTGTTGTCAGGAGGGTGCCATCTTTTCAGTCACAGAGAGGCTGGACCGAAGCCCTGAGAGCTAGTGTTTAGGGCCTGAGTAGAGGCATCTGGGAAACCCTGGCCAGTGTGTAGCTGGAGCCGCCACTGAAGGTTGTGGGGCTTTGTGCTGAGCCCCCAGAGGAGGACACCACAGGGCACAAGCACCAGCAGCCAGTGTGTCAGCCAAGGGACAAGAGCAGAGAGGGTGCAAGGCAGCATGTTTGCTGAGGTTGGAGGAATCACAGGCGTGGGTTTGAACCCAGCCCCAGCACTGCAAGCTATTTGAACGGTTCCTCCTCCTTCCAGACCTCAGGGTGTGGGTCTGGGTGATGGATGAGATTAAAGGCTGGGCAGCTCCTTCACCAGTGACCTGGGATGGTGTGTTCCTGTTAGGCGGAGGGAGCCCATCTTTCTTGAGTGTGTGATGGTCTGGTGACCTGAGTGATTGCTCTGTGGGGAGAGCCCAGCCCCATGTTCACCACACTGCTGGCTGTGGCCCCGCCTTGAGTCTGTGGGCTCCTGTGGGTGTGAAGCCCCTGTCGATT